AAGAGGATAATTTTGGGTTTTAATTTCAATGGTTTATCCGGGACGAGTGTCGATCTCGATGTGTGTATTTATAAATGATTTTACTCGTTTGTGATGTGATTTAAATAAGATATTCATGACATGTTTATTGTTTATGACATGTTTGTTTGTCCTAAATAATGTGATTGGAAGTCGACAATGACTTCCTAAATTTTGTGATTTAAAGTCGTTGATAGCTTTTCACTTGTTTGGATGAAATTGTCGATGACTTTCAAATGATATGATTTGAAATCGACATTGACTTCTTAAATTTTATGATTTGAAGTCATTAGTGGCTTCCTTTTATATAGACGAAGTTATTGGTGGCTTCTTATTTATATGGACGGAATTGTCAATGACTTCCCAAATGATATGATTTGAAGTCAATAAAGACTTCCTCAATTTTATGATTTGAAGCCATTGATGGCTTCTCAAATGATGTGATTTGAAATCGATAGCGACTTCTTAAATTTTTTGATTTGAAGCCGTCGGTGGCTTTCTACTTATGTAGATGAAGTCATCGGTGGCTTCTTAAATTTTGCGAAATGAAGTTATCGATGACTTCTCATTTGTGTGGATGAAGTTGTCGGTGGTTTCTCAAATTATGTGATTTGATTTCGAAGGTTAGTCGATTACTTCTCAAATGATGTGATTTGAAGTCGATAATGACTTCCTAAATTTTATGATTTGAAGTTGTTGGTGGCTTCTTGAATTATATGATTTGAAGTCGTCGGTGTCTTCCTAAATTTTGTGATTGGAAGTTGTTGGTGGATTCTCACTTGTGCGAACAAAGTTGTTGATGGTTTTTCAAAAGATGTGATTTGAAAGTTGATAGCGACTTCTTAAATTTTGTGATTTGAAGTCATTAGTGGCTTTCTATTTATATGGATGAAGTTGTTGCTTCTTAAATAATGTGATTTGAAGTTTACAGCGACTTCTTAAATTTTGTGATTTTAAATCGTCTATGGTTTTTCATTTATGTGGATGAAATTGCTAGTGACTTTCCAAATAATGTGATTTGAAATCGATAATGACTTTCTAAATTTTATGATTTAAAGTTGTTAGTGGCTTCTCATTTTGTGTGGACGAAGTCGATAACGACTTGCCAAGTGATGTGATTTAAAATCGACAATGATTTTTTAAATTTTATGATTTGAAGTTGTTAGTGGCTTCCCAAATGATGTGATTTGAAGTCATTAATGACTTTCCGAATGATATAATTTGAAGTCATTAGTGGCTTCTCAAATGATGTGATTTGAAGTCGACAATGACTTCCTAAATTTTGTGATTTGAAGTTGACGGTGACTTTTCATTTACATGAATGAGGTTGTCAATGACTTTCTATTCGTGTCGAGTATAGGCTCTTAATCCTTATAGACTCATCTATTTGTCAATACGGAGTTTGCAATGTTAGAGGTTAGTTAAAATTCTAATTTCTATCCCCATTTTCCTTTAGAGTATGGATATAGGCCTTCAATCGGCCTAGATCCAAAATTACCCGATTAATTTATCTCAATAAAAATAAATTCATTCAAATGGGCATAAAACTATAAAATAGTAAGACCAAGTTTTAGTTTTTGCATATATACAATGCGAGGCTACTTTAGGTAGGACGGGATAGTGGTTGATAATGATCATTATTAATTATATTTATTCTCTTATATTTAGTCTTTTAGATGTGATTTTAGGTTAAATGTGCTGAATTAAGTTCATTTGTGATTTAGGAGATGCGGCAAAATTTTAAGGCCAACAAATTGACCTTTAAAGAAAGAAAGAAGAATTTCAAATCGCTAAAGCTCCATAACGTAAAAGAGGTCTTTTTAAAAATTAAAGCGGACATCTTAATCTTTCTAGATTGGATTTAAATGCACAAATCTATTCTATTTTGAGCTATCAAAACCAGTTGTGAAGTTAGGTAAAAAATTTAGATCTTATGATAGTCCGAAACACTGCCTAATGTTTGGACCATATTTGGCATCATACAAATTGGATTAAAATGATTCAAAAGCTTACATAAGGAAGACATTCAGGAAATTTTCATGAGGAACCCGAGTCTAGATTCCGCCACCTTCTAACCCTAAATCAATTCGAAGTTTTAGGACATAAACTATAGTCCTATTCAACAAGAAGTCCTAATTAATTTCAGAAATAAGCTTAAATAGACTTTGTTGGCTATCATAGTTATCTCTTCACATGTATAAATAGCCTCTAGAACTGCATATTAGAGTCACGCTTTCTTAACACATTTCTTTTATATAATTTAGGGTTTTATACTTCGGATAATGTCTAGCTAAGTTTTCTTAATTTAGTTCAAAGGATTTCAACTTCGGTTTGCAAAATATTATGAGAAAGGTTTGATCTTTAAACTATTCTTTATAATTTGAGTATATTTTTTTCCCCGAGCTTAATTAATTGATCTCTGAATTTAATTAATCATGATTGCATAGATAATTGTCTAAGATGACCAATTAGTTAATTGTATATTATGATTTATAGCTAGCTAACTCTCTTAATCCGTAATTGTTAAAAAAAAAAGTTAGTACAAGTAGTGAATTAGGTTTGATTACCTAAGAAAAATAAAAAGATGAATTAAATGATTTAGATGTTCTAAAATTGATGTTTAGTCTTAGCTATCTTCCTAATTCGTAATGTTGTTGTTAATTAGATTATGATTACTTCAATACCAAAATCAATAAATAATAAGAATTAATTCAAGCGTGAAGTTTTGATTTAATGAATTTAGGAAAGATTCGGGTTTATTCGACATCTAAGTAAATCTAGGCTAATTATTCAATAAATGAATAGTAATTTAGGTGTCAATGATCAATTTACAAATTGAATGTTTGAATTACTCCTTGAATTGAAGTTTTTCCTAAATTGAATTTACTTAATTTGCTAATTTAGGCTTTGCAAACAACAACCCCTTGGTTTTTAGAATAACGGAATTGATTGACGAGTTTTTAGGGTTCGACTTCGGACTTACCATTACTTTAAACTTTGGTAAGAATAGTAAATTAAAATTGGTGCATTTGACACGCATAAGTGGCGATGTTAATTTTTCCTATATGTAATCGACTCTTACCAAGATATTTGTGTAAAACGAGTTTGTTTTAGGATTTCTTAGTTCTCTCAATTGCTAGGTGGTGACTCCACCCTTGCCGAGTCCTCGTCGACAATTAGTTTTTGAATTCAAATCTTAAAATCAACATAGAGTAATTTATTTCTTGAATGCACCCGACCGTTATAAATGTTGTGTTCTTAAAATCATTGAAAAAAGAAATTTAATTTCAATGAATATGTAAGTTAGTCCAAGAATACCTTACAGTTGAATAAATAAATAAATAAAGCATAAGTTGAATTAAGAGTAGTTATTATTAAGGCAAATATCCTAAATTTACCTATGTATTTGTGTCAATTAATCATTTCAACCTATGTATTTTTAATTTAGTCGATTAATCTTTATATTCTCTAAAATCATTCAATTCACCCTTGTGTTCTCAATTTGGCTTAGTTATATTTCAAAATTGATTTCTACCAACTTTCATCCAAAAGATTATATCATTCCATACTTTTAAAGAACTTCAAGAAATAACCTTTTTAAAAATTATTTTTGGTTTATTTAGATTTTAACATGTATGCTACACGTAGAGTGATCTATCTATTTTTAATATATTTGCTAAGACATTTATTTGATGATGTAGCTCCTACATGAACATAAAAAATGATCTCATTAATAAAAAATATTTAATAATGCAACATCTGTAATTACACTCAAGACTTGAAACAAGTTAACTACTGGATTAATAGGAAAATTTTAGGGAAAAAAAAGATTAATAGAATAAATTCAAAAAACATAAGGATTAATAACCAAATTAAAAATACACGAATAGAAATGAAGACAAGTTTACAAGTTTCGGCTATATTATTAATTAATGACTATGAATTGAGATTAGTAGTTAAATATGATTAATTGAAATAGGATCTTGATTATTAGTTGTAGTAGTATGAATAGCTATTTGTAGACATAAATAACAAGATTAACGGACCATTTTCTCTTCATGAATCATCACCTTTTCACTAAGTTCTATTAAATTAGGTGGCTATATGATGAAAATTTATTTTGCTCACGCTTAAAACAAATTAAAGAAGAGAAAAAAAAGATCGAAAATGAAAAAGCAAACAAAAAACAACAAATATTCCAAAGAAACTAAAAAAAGCTGAGATAGTTATACAATAAATGAACAGTTCCTCGATTCTTTTGTTTTCTTTCGTTTTTTTTTTTTGGGCTGGGTTGACCAACAACCAAGCCCTGGCTCTTTGGCACGCACGTGCCAAGCCTTGGCTACCCAACGTGGCCTCTCTCTCTCTCTCTCTCTCTCTCTCTCTCTCTCTCTCTATATATATATATATATATATGCTTTAAATAGTTTGACATAATTTTTTTTTAAATAATAACCAGTTAAAAAATTTACAAGTTTTATTTACCTTTTTATATATATTTATTCAGAATTTATTAGAATCAATTTTGTTGTTGTTTTTATTTTAAAAATTCAATATTTTATTTTTTAATATATATATATATATATATATATATATAAAGAGAGAGCTAAAAGTATGTTTTAAATAATTTATTTTTTTAAAAAAAATAATGAGTTAAAAAATTTACAAGTTTTATTTGCTTTTTTATATATATATTTATTCAGAATTTACCAAAACCAATTTGTTGTTATTTTTATTTTAATCTATTGATTTCAATATATTTCTATAATTTATATAGGTTTATATATATATATATATATATATTAAAAATATATACTATATATATATATTCGATTTATATTAATCACTAAAAACAAAAATTTTTATTGACATTACATCATATATTAACCCTGTGTATATAACGATCGTCTGCCCATAATGTAAATCGGGTATCCAACTAGTTAATACTAAAAGGAAACTCTCTCTCTCTAACAAACCTGCACCTAAACCGTATCAGCCACTTGCAACAAACCCACAACATGTTGAATACGTTGTTTGTATCTGGCATTGGATTGCTCCAAGTTATGCTTGACCTCTGATTGAACAGCTCGCACCTGTTCAACAAGTTTCTCAATAGCAACAATATAACCTAGGGTTTTAGAAACTAAACTAAGTTTTGTGCACACACAAATTTTAATAAGCACAACGAGCATCTCATCCACCATCTCTTTTAAATATGAACGAGTCATCCCCAAAATGGGACATAGATTTCCATCTCTTCAAAGATAACAATGACAGGACTCGAACCTAAGATCTTTAAAATCAACGAATCATCCCCAGATACTTATGTGATACACGCATCCAAGACCAACGGTCAACATGGAGGTATGAACAGTAAATTAGCTCCAGACGTCGAACCTGCAAACAAATTTTCACTAAGTGCTTAGAAAAGATTGCTTCTCCACAGATCGCCCATGCACATATTTATATCCGGACTGAATAGAGGCAAAACATTAAACACCTAGTAGACATGAAACAAACAACCCGTGGTCATTCCTATGAAAGATTATCACCAAAACAGACAAAAAGCAATGGAGTTGTTCTATGTTGCTATTGTTATTCATGTATTTATTATTATTTTTTTAATTCTTGTATTCAGATTCTGTTCTATTGTTTTTGCCCCTTTCTCCCCCACCCAGCTTTCCTTCTAGGTCAGAACTCAGCTGCAAGCAGAGACTAAGGTTCTGTTTGATACTTTTGTAAATTAATTCAAGTTGTTTTTTAAATTTTGACTCAGAGAAAAATCACACATATTTAGTTGGACATGACTTTCGACTCCAATAAAATATAATTATAAAATGGGGTCAAAATTTTGTATTAATCAAAGGTTAAAATTTTTAACTTTCAACTTTTTTATTCTAACTTAATACTACCTCCCTAAAAAAATAAAAATAATAAATAATTGGTTTGAATCATTTTGCAGAATATGCTTCTAACTTAACTACTTTATCATATATATATATATATATATATATATATTTTAATGAAAAACAACTTTTAAATTATGACTTAAAAGTTACATTTTATAAGTTACGCAAAACAATGTATAAGTTCTTGATTAGCACAATGCTTTTAATGGAACGAAGTCTCTTGTAAGGAAGAAAAAAAAAAAAAAAGAAATTTAGGAATATTTTTGGGGAAAAAAATTATGGATGGTAAATGTTGGTCAAAGGACTATTTAATTATTTTTGATGCTACAGGAACTAATTAATTATTTACAATAAAAAAACAGGGATTAATTTTTAATGAACTCAGTTGTGAATGGCAATTGCCTTCCATCAAAGACATGGGAAGGCAATTAAGCAAACAAAATATGTAATGATTTAAAACACTAACAGATAATTAGTCTGATGCTGGATAGATAGCATGCCGAATTTTTATCATAAAAAAGAATGCTGGACAGAAAAGAAAGAGAGGTTGAAGATGACTTGCCAAAGAGTCAAAATTGGAAACTCAGCAAACATCCAGAGCATCAAATTGCCTTATCAAACAGATGACGAGGAAGGCTGGTCAGGGTCAATTATATCCATCTTCAACCTTTCATGTTTTTGTTGCTCCTCATCTTGGGCTGACAGTAGATGGACTCCACATTTAATCACCTCGTATGGGAATTTCTGGGTCGCAGGGTCACAATCAAGGTCAAATTTAAATGTGGCCTCAGTGAAATTAGACTTAAAACTCGGGTCATACCACATGAACACGTGTTTTAATCTTCCCATCATGCGAACAGCATCTATCTTGGGTAACATGAAGGAGCATAAACGATTAGGATGTCCAGGTTCTGTTATCAAACATCTGATGTTATAAGCTCCTACAGGATCACCAGTATATTCATCATAAACCTCATAATTCTCAGAATCATTATGGTGTTTGAATGCAACAACAGCGCAAAAAATGCAACCCAAAAATTCAGTACTGTTGCAATCAGGCAGCTTAATATTTTCCAATGAAGAACCTTCAGTGTTTTTATAGTTGAACCACCCTGGGACCTCCAACCCAGGGACACACAATCTAAATCCAATCGGCTCACCGGATTCCTGCATCATGAAAAAATATAACAGTCTTTACAATGCCAAAGAGAGGGAGGAGAGAGGAGGGAGAGAGCAATACCTGATTGAACAGAGATGTTGCCATGCGTCGAATCCTCAACCATGCATCAGCTATAATTTGAATGCAAGCATCCTGAATCAGTCTGGTGCAATATGCAAAATTAAAAACCTCGGAAGCAGCTCCATTCTCCTTCCGAACTTCAGTGTATATACTTTTTACTGATTGTAGAGAAATGCAGCACTGCACAATTAGACGTTGTAGATTTGATGGAAGCTCTGGTAAACATTGAAGCTTCACACATCCACTTAAAATCAGATCAGTCAGCTCTGAAAGGTTCTTGATGCTTGCAGGTATGCTCTCAAAATTGTTCCCTGTTAAATTCAATTTTCTCAATGACACAAACGAGCCAAGGCTGTAGGGAATTTCTGATAGGTAACAACCTTCTAGATCTAAATATTGTATACGGTCCAAATGATTGATGGTGTTTTCTAAATTCCCTGAGTTCTCTGGGAATCTATCCAGACGTCTACATCTGTAGAGATAAAGTGTTTGAAGAGATTCCAAATCATAGATGCTATTAGGTAGATTCTCTAACTTCGAGCAACCACTAAGATTAAGTTCTGCAAGACATTTCAACTGGGAAATGCTACTTGGCAGACCCTTAAGCCTTGCACACAAACTCAAATCCAGCACAACAAGTTGAGAGAGATTCTCAACCGACGAGGGCAGAACTCGTTTTATTGCAGTTCCGCTCAAGTATAAATACTTCATATTCATGGGAACTGCTGGAAAATCTTTGATGTTTGGGCAATCTTTGAGACAGAGAACATCTAGAGATGTCATAGCAAGGAAGCTTGGCAAACCACAAAGATTTTTGCAATTGCTAAGGTCTAGTTTTTTCAGATTTCTGCAATACTGAATAGAGGAGGGGACATCAACAAAACTTCCGCAGCAACTCAGATCTAGAACCTCAAGATTTGGGACATTAGTCAAGTTTGGAATTCTGATAAGGTACATGGAGTAACAGAGGCGCATGACTTTTAAATTCACAAGAGGCTGTCAAGATAAAGAAAATAAACAAATAAATAAATAATAAGAAAAGGTAGGAACGGTTATGCATATCTAATAAGTCTAGGCCAGGCAATATCTGAAAAAGACAGTTAAAACATACCGGAAATTCATCCCATAGTTGTTCAAGATGGCTATGCGGCATTTGCAATTCAACAAGATTCAGAGGACAAAAATTCATTGGCAGAGATTTCAAAGGATAATGATCCCAGTAAAGAATCCTTAGCTTGTGCGGAAGAAATTCAAGCTCCTTAGGAAGATGGATTTTGATTTCTCCAAACACTATAGAATTATAAAATACATGCTTTGCGGGAATACGTTTAGGATTATAGAACTTGAGCAGTCTAAGATTATGCATCCCTTTGAAGGCTGTAGGACCTAGGTCAATTTTTTTAATTTTGGTCAAGTCTAGGGATATGGCTTCCACTCTTTCAGTCCCCTAATAACCAGAAACAAAGAACAAGTGAATAAATAATATGTAAAGAACTTACGAGAAAAACACAACAGGTATCGATCTTTGAATTTTACCTCTTGATATTTTAATGCATGACAGATGTCAACTGGATCCCACAACCTGCTACATTTTCTATGGGGATCATCAATGTTTTCTTCTTGAACAATGTGTTGACCTAGTAGTTGTAGCAAATCATGCATCCATATCTCTTTGTCTGAAAACTTTATGAGACACCTATCAATGAGACGACGTATCCCAATTTTTTCACCGAATGGACCTAGATCTACTGAATGTTGGACAAGATCTTTATCACAACTTCTAAAGAAGCATGCTATATCAAGAAATATGCTCTGTTCTGTCAAATCTAATTCATCATAAATCATTCTGAAACTTTGCTCAATTTTCTTGTCTAAAGTTCCTTCTAGCTTTGCCAACACACTTTCCCATTCTTTGATGCCCATGCCATATAGTTGAGAACCTAACACTCGGAGAATTAATGGAATGCCTTTAGCATAGTTCAACGCCTTTTCTGATAGCTGTGTATACTCTTCTATGGGAGAATGTTGTCTAAAAGCATGTAAGCTGAAGAGTTCAACAGCATCACTTTCATCTAAATCTTTAACCTCGTAGATTTTATCTTCACTACATGCTTTTGCAAGCACTTTCCTATCTCTACTTATCACAATGATTCTACTTCCTGGGCCCCACAAACCAACCTCTACTATTAAATCTTTTAAATCCCGAGGATCACTAACATCATCAAGAACAATGATGACGTGTCTCCGGCGGAGCATTCGGTGAAAGCGGGAGGGAAATGTGTTGACCGTAATTCGATTCAAATTTTTTTCCCTCAATACTTCACAAAGCATTTTCTGTTGTAGATTAACTAGCCCGTGCTTCCTTAACTCTTCCGTGACATCTGGAAGAAAGCAACGACCTTCAAATTGAGGAGAGATTCGATCATATACAAATTTAGCAATTGTTGTCTTGCCTATACCAGGCATTCCCCAGATTCCCACAATAAGCACACTTGGTGATCCAATGGATAGTAAATATTCAACATCTTTAACCCGAGATTCAATTCCAACAAAGTCTTTTGAATCACTTGAAAATGAACTGTCTGAGAGACGTAACTTCCTCTCAATGTCACCAACAATTTCCTTAATTAGTTTGCTATCAGGCCTGGCGCATAATAAAGAACAAAAAGTGTGAAGTCAATAAAATACAAGAACCAGATAAAATGACAATATTATCAAAGCAATTGATTTTCAGACAAAATGGTTCAAATATATAATCCAAATGTATTTACTCGCAAAAGGTAATAGCTTACTTGGTGACGTTTGCATCCCATCCCGCCAGGTTGGTTATTTCTGTCAAAGCACAGCTCCAACCCTTCACCTCTTCTATACTACACTGTCCTTCATGCTTAGCAAGTGCATCCCCGAAGCTCCCACGCAGCTTTCTGATATCACGTGGATCAACTTGGTAAAAAACTGGTATAACAAACTGGCCTTTTGTCTTCTTGCACTCCAGAACCTTGACGAGTTCCGCTAAACACCATGTCGAATCTGCATAATTTTTGGACAAAACGACAATTGAAACACGTGATTCTTCAATCTTTTTCATGATCTCGTCTCTTCCACCAGATCCGTCATTAATGTAAGTCTCGATTCCATTTCTATCCAACAACTCACGATGAAGAAAACTGACAAAACCATTGCCGGTGTCTGCGCCGCTGAAACTAAGGAACACAGCATTATAATTTCCTAGATGAGTATCGGCTGACGAAGATTGATCTTTAACAGGCGATTCGACTCCAATGAAATGTTTTGAGTTGCAGGACGGTAAGCGGCATGAGGGCAATAAAGCTAATTTATTCTCAATGTCACCAACAATATTGTCAACTAGCATAGCGTGGCTGGTGCGTGAGGAAAAAAAAAAAAGGAGCAAGAACCAGTAAGTCGAAACTAGATTACGGTTAAGAAAATTAATTTGTGCAAATAACTGATGTTATCAGGCCTGAAGCATGATAAAGAACAAAAAGACGTCAAAGGTAGCTAGTAACTTACTTAATTTTGTTTGACTCCCAGCCCTTTATACTGGCTATTTCTTCCACAGCATGCGCCCAACGCTTCACTTGTTCTGAACTGTATTCCTTTGGAAGCTTAACTAGTGAATCCGCAAAGCTGCCCCTCTGCTCAAGGACAAGAGCTGGATTGACTTCATAGAAAATTGGTATAACAATTTGTTTTCCTGCCCTGTAGCACTCATAAATGTGTCCCAGTTCCTCCAAACACCATATAGAAGATAGATAGTTTTTGGAGAAAATGACTACTGCAATATATGATTCTTCAATCGCTTTAACGATCTCGGGTTGCATGTCATCGCCACGCCGTAAGGGAGAACCTTCATCATCATAAAAGGTTTCAATTTGATCTGTCATCAATTTACGATAAAGATGACTCAAAAAGCTATCGCGGGTGTCTTGGGCTCTGAAGCTTAGGAAAACCTCATACTTCCATTGATTAGTAATGGAGGAAGAACTAATTGCCATATAAGAGGCTTGATGTATATAGCCGGAAATGGACTTCAAACCAGATTCCGTACAGTACGGGTTGGGTGAGGAAGAAACAGACGGAGAAATCAATCTGAGGAGTTGTAGAGAAAATACGTCTACAAGATCGGACGTAAAAAATATGATTCTTCGGATTTGTTTTTTCCAATTGAGCTATGATCGGACGTGATGCAGAGAAGAAGAAGCAAAATTACAAAGAGAGAAGCAAACAGGGGAAAGACAAAAGCTTGCAGATAAATAAGTGAAGTGACGAAAATTAGGATGGAAGCATGAAACAGGGAAGAGCGATAGTGTTCAGTAGAAAGATAGAAAGGAGCAAGAGAGAGAAAAGAGCAAAGATTTGTTTTGGATCTAAACTGTAACAAATGAACGGCTCCGATCCTGTGTTAGGGTGCGGACACCGTTGGCAGACCAAGGATCCTCGAAATGATCAACAACGTCAAAATGGGGCCCTGTGGGTGAGAGAGGCAGGATGTACCTGAGGTCGGTTTGGGTTTTTCACTCTGGTGAATTTTTATTTATTTTTTTCCCTAATTTTGAATCAGGCCTGGACAGCGACTCCCTTAGCCGAGAGCGCTTGGGCTAATCCAGGCCTCTTCTTCTTCTTCTTCTTCTCTTTTTCAAATTTTTTTTCTATTTTTGTTGTTATTATTATTTTTTTCGAATGGCAAAAATCAGGAGATGATACATTTCATAGAAATGGTAGAGGTGAAGTCACGATATATCCTTGTAAAATTGAAAAACCAAATTAAGAAATGAGAGAATAACAAAAAATAAAATATATATTTCATCTATATAATGTATTTATTTTTTACATAACCAATGTACACAATTGATCTTTCTTTGCCAATTCTTTTTTTTTTTTCCTTTGATGGGAAAAAGGCTAAGAGTGAAAAAAACGTAATGAATTGATAATTGAAAATTGAAGGATTGGTAATGAAATTAGAGAGATGGATGTAATTAAGGAATATATTTATTTCTCCATTTTTAAATATTGCCTACTTAGATTACTACCTTCATAGGGGCACTTCCATAGGCGTTTCTTGTATTTGTTTATTTGAAAAATAATTATTCTTAGAAAAAAATTGTTCAAATATTATATGATCAAACTACAATTTTTTTTGAAAATCCAGGAGGCCAAATATTATTAAAGAGTTCAATAGAGGCAAAAGCCTTCTGGAGAATAGAATATAATAAGCTATATATACCGAAGGCAAACCGATATAACATTCACAAACCCCGTCTCAAAAATCAGTTTCAAAAACAATAGAAAATCTTTCTTAATTCTCATCACTCTACTTTTACCTTAAAAAGCAAAAATAAATAAGAAGAAGAAAAAAAAATAAAAAAGGAAAAAGGTCCGGACCTGGTCTAGGCACCCATTGGACCGCATGACTAGCCTAATAGTGCCAAGCATTGGGACCGTAGTCTTGGCTCGTTCTGTCGTCCGTTTTTTGAAACATGGATCATCAATGAATATTTTTTGAAATTTTAAGAAGAGGAAAAGACAACCAAAGAAGGTTGCCTTGAAGTTCGAAATTGGGATGCTATGAGATGGGTACTATCTTTATATTATCTTTATTTGGTGTCCGATAGAGAAATGATGATAACAAACGGGACGAATGGTTTTCCTTGGATGACAATTCTTATTATCTTGGTACAAGATAAAATGGTTACCCTCCGGCTTGATCGGTATGCACAAGTCGTCATGGGTTTTTTAGAGTGCATTATGGTTAGAAGCATGATAATTGTGGGCACAAGCAATCTTGTTTTATTTACTAGGTTCATTCGGAGAACCAAGAAAACCATTTTGTTCTTGCTTTTGGACAAAACGAGATCCGGTACCAAGATAGCAAAATATCCGATATATTTACATAATCAAGATTATAACGTGTGTTTTTTTTCCCCACTTAAATATTTTTTGAACAAGGACAACCTCGACCAATCATTAAGGACATCAACCGAATAAAGTCATGACATACAATATAGACGAATAACTCAAACAAAGAAGATACTCATCCTCCTATTTGTTGGACAAAAATAATATACATTTAATGAAGACATGACTTTTTAGGATATTTTTTGTCACATAATCACCAAACATGATTGCACATACACCGTTAAACAACGACATTCATTTAAAGAAATCCTAAACCTTCAAGTGGATGGAAGGAGTTGTTGAACATGAGAAAAAGACCAATCTATCCTTCACTCTATGCAAATTGATCACACCCATATATATATATATATACATATTGTTGGGATTCTTTGTTATAAAATAGCTATAAATTAAGCTCGCAAATCAATGTATAATTAGCTATCCTATACGCTTCATGTTCTTCCCACAACTTTCTTAGGCCAATTCTTCATCTACTACTCTTTTCGGCAACCCCTTTACACTACTTATTTCGACAAGTATTCATCAATCATTCCATCCTTCATCTCATTTCTAGCAACGAACACCAAATATGAAAGACACCAATGAATCTTCAATTAAAACTACAAAATCCTCTAACACTAAAACCGTTATGTTTAACAACCATGGGGGAGACATGACAAATTACTCGTCCATAGCCATCACCATCTACAAACCAAATGGCATCACACCATCTACAAAACGAATGGCGAAACTATATCCAATGGTCTCAATCCTTCATGTTTCATGTTCGTAACAAGGAGAAAGAAGATTATCCGATAGGAAATATCACCAAACCAGATTAAAAAGATGCTAATGATAAGATCCGAAAGAGAGATAACAATCGAGTTATGTCTTGGTTAATGAGTTCCATAGAGTCATACATAGGAGAAAATTTTCTCATTTATGAAACTGCATGTAGAAGTATGGGAAGCGGCAAAAAATACTTTTTCTCACAAAGATAACATCCCCGAACCGGTGGCAATTAAGAACGTCATACACGATCCCCGACAAGGTGACTTATCCGTGATTAAGTATTACAACAAACTCCAACAAAGCCGACAAGCAACTAGATGCTTTTGAAAAATATTCTTGGTACACTACTAATGGTTTAAAACAAAATAAAAATATCACGGAGAACAAAAGGGTCTCTAAATTTTGTTTGGACTCGAATTCTAATCTTCATGTTATAAGAGGAAGGATATTTAGCATAATACCACTCGCCAAGTGTACACAAAGCCTTCTCTAAGGTTTGAAAGGAAGAAAGCAAACGCCAATTGATGTTGGGGATAGAAAAATCAATTGCTAATGATGAGTCATCGATCTTGGCGAATCCAAAATTAGCAATAGCCATATAAAAGGGGAAGACCATGGTGTGAACATTGTTGTCGCTCGATCATATCAAAGAAATAGGTTGGACACTCCATGGAAAACCTACTAATTGGAAGCCAAAAATAGCAAGTATAGAATAAAATTCGAGGCAAGCATGGCAAGCAATTCGAACAAACTACAACTCTAGCAAAGAAGAACTTGATTATAGACTTTTGCTTCCATCTCTCAAAAGGGTAATTTTCTCAAAGTTTTACTATCAAATAAGAGCTCTATAAGCCTTGAATTGTAGATTTTGTGCTTCCGATCACATGATAGGATTTAGGCTAGTTTTCTACACATATTCTCCCTATAATGATGCTCTCATAGTTAGAGTTTTAGATGGTTCTTTGGAAAATTTGAAGGGATTGGTTCGGTTGGGGTATCCAGGGACATAACACTCAAATTTATTCTATATGTTCCTAATCTAGACTACAACCTAATCTCCATAAATAGAATTATCCAAGATCTTAATTGTCTAACCGATTTTTCTCTTTGTGTTTGTGAATTTCATAATATGCATTCGGAGAGGATGATTGGTAGCGTTAGAAGTCATGTTGGGCTTTATCATTTTGAGGTTCAACTGGATTCTATGAGACAATCTCATCTAGGAATGAATGACCCTATTTCTTGTAAATTTAATTCTTGCATGTACTGTTAGTGAGTGAAAAATTGAGAGTGAGAAGTTGGTCATGGTGTGGCATTATAGGTTTGGACACCCAAGCTTTATGTAATTGTCCAAGTTTTTTCTAAGTTTATTTAGAATTAAAAGTGCCAGTTCTTTTAAGTGTGAATTTCATAATGTGAATTCGGATAGGATGATTGGTAGTGTTAGAAGTCATGTTGGGCTCTATCATCTCGAGGTTCAATTGGATTCTATGAGACAATCTCATCTAGGAATGAATGACCTTATTTCTTGTAAAATTAATTCTTCCATGTCTCGTTAGTGAATGAAAAATTGAGAGTGAGAAGTCGATCATGGTGTGGTATTACAGAGTTAGGACACCTAAGCTTTATGTACTTATCCAAGTTTTTTCCAAGTTTATTTAGAATTAAAAGTGCTAGTTCTTTTTAGTGTGAATTTCATAATGTGAATTCGGAGAGGATGATTGTTAGTGTTAGAAGTTATATTGGGCTCTATCATTTTAAGGTTCAATTGGATTCTATGAGACAATTTCATCTAGGAGTGAATGACCCTATTTCTTGTAAAATTAATTCTTGCATGCTCGTTAGTGAGTGAAAAATTGAGTCGAAGCTGGTCATGGTGTGGCATTATAGGTTAGGACACCTAAGCTTTACGTACTTGTCCAAATATTTTCCTAGTTTATTTAGAATTAAAAGTGCTAGTTCTTTTCGGTGTGAAATTTGTCAATTTACAAAACACACTCATAGTTTATATCCTATTAAGCCATACAAAGCATCAATTATATATATATATATATATATATATATATATATATATAATACATAGTGATTTTTGAGACCCATCTTAAGTTCTAAATGTCACGAAGTGTTGGGTGGTTTATCTTTTTTATAGATGATCATACACAACTCACATTGATTTTTTCCATGAAAAATAAATCAAAAGTTTCTCAAATATTTAAGAATTTCAACACAATGATTAAAAAACAATTTTAAACTTTCATTTAAATATTTATATGTAGTGGAGGCAAAAAAAAAAATTTATCCACTCGCTTTGATTTGATCTTGAGTATTGCAAAATTACGCAATTCAATACATTTCCATATGTTTGTGTTGATACGAAAAGAGAAGAACGTGCAAGAAGTTTTGCTAGTTCCCAACCCAGTTATCCTCAAAGTCAAGGGCGAACTCTAAAATTAAGATGCAATGGATGTCAACCTTGCTTCCTTAACAAGTAAAAAGCCGGATTACGCGTTTGTGGTCGCAGCCCGGTGATAAGGTTGAGGATCGCTCACCGATGACACTCGGGTTCGATTCTCTCGCGCACGCCTCGTTACCTCCGCGGTGCCTTACTTGCCCACCGAGCTTGCGGGGTGTTCGGTGGGTCCAGGGATTAGTCGAGGTGTGTGTAAGTCGGCCCGGATATCTCGGGTTATCAAAAAAAAAAAAAAAAGCTGGATTACAGAGCAATACATTTTTATTTTGAAATAATGGAAGTTTTCCAACATTTCATGACCTTGCATGTGTTAATTTTTGGTCAGATATTCTTGAAGAAGCATGTCTACCGGAAAGGTGCAAACACAATTTCAGGGGAGTAAACTCAAAGAAAAAGGAAAGTCAACTAAGACATTACAAGTCATTATAATCGTCCACGAACTAAAGTTTAAGCTTGAAATTGCTTACCTTAAATGGTGACAGACTATTAAAAAAAGACTCAAAACAAAACTTAGAAAGATGAAAGGTGTAAACATTAAATGCTAGCCTGGAGACCTTGAATGCTTTTTCTCCTCCAGTTACCGTGTGTATATATATATAGTTTTCTGAATGATGGATCATCAGAAGATCGCCTTGAGAGAAGAGGAGAAACAATGGCAGCAACACCATCGATCAGTCGAAAGCATTCGCCGCGTCCGTGTGTTAAGCATTTCAGCCATTCCCATCCGTTGCGTCCTGTTGATGTGATAAAGGAGGAAGAAATTATTTATTCAGGTTGCGAGCTAGACCTTTCAGGTTCTGCTTATAAGTGCACCAAGTCTGTATGCGATTTCTCCCTTCACAGGTCCTGATTTGAATTGCCAAGAGAGCTCCAACACATTTCTCACCCTCAACATTTTCTTATCCTTCACTCTTCCCCTCCTTGTGAGCATTCCAAGTTCACTTGTAATGCTTGTGGTGATTACGGTACTTCTTTTGCCTATCATTGTACTACTTGCCAATTCAACCTCCATGTTGGGTGTGCTTTCTTGCCCAAAACCATGAAGCATGTAGACCACAATCACCCACTCACTCTTCTGTATTCCTCTAATTTATTGGACAAGGAGTGCCCAGTCTTCACCTGTGATGTCTGCAAGAAAGAAGTTTCGCAGACCTCCTGGTTCTACTGCTGTCTGGATTGCGACTATGGTACCGATCCACACTGCACAACTCCAGCTGATTGTTGAAAAAGAAGCCAATAAGAAGCTCTAGATCCTGCTGGAAAACACTGAACCAAGCAAGCTGCAGCCTCGACATTTTTGTTGATGTGCTTGGATGGTTCAGTGTTTTCCTTTACAAGTCCTTGCATATTTGGCTCGCTATTTGTTTGATGGTTCTTCTACTCATTTTCTGATTTTTGAATAAACGATTTGTGGTTTTATAATCGAAGATGGTTTCATAAAAACCGTGTTAAATACAAATATCCATCTCAACGTCAGCAGATGCAAGCTCAATTTCTACTAGCTACTACTTTCAAGACCAATGAAATAGTTGAAAATTTGGGTTGGTAACAAAATTTAACTAAAGGCAAATCACAATATCACATTATGTTTTTGTAATCCTCTTGTGGTAGTATATTTACATCTTTTGACAGAATAAATCTAGCACTTTAACTCATGAAAGCTCTATCAACTCCCAAAAACCCTAGGAACAGGACGAACACCATATACATAATGTTGTACTTTCTTGGTATCTAAACACTAATACATACTGCATATTAATATTTAATAACCATTTCTGATCTACAGTAGAAATTGTAGACAAGACCTATCTGACATGTAGCATGATTTCTCTTAGATGCGATAGTACAATAGTATGAAAATGTATATACAAGTCTGCATTGATGAGGGTGTCTTAGAGATCCATTACTCCTTGTTTCTAGAAGAGCGATCTTTTCTCTGTCCACCAAGAATACGGGAGATCTGAAGACCTCGACTGAAAGCTTGGTTGAACAGCATTCGTGTTTGGAACTCGGAAACAAATGGGAACCAAGCCAAGAATGCAACAGGTGTGAATAGAAGCAAGCCCATGGCTAATTCATAACCACGAGCAAGCGTCCGGACCGATCCCCAAAATCCAGCATTTTGTATCAGAGGCTTGCAAGCCTGTGCAATCTGTAATAAAATAATCAACCAAAAACAACTGTGGAAATTAAATAACTTTTTCACAAAATTATCTAACTTAAAGGTGCTTTCTTAGAAGGCACCATGATTTACTAACCAGCAGTAGTCCCCATCCAGTAGGCAAGAATGCAAGCATGGAGACTATGATATCCCGCATCGTCAAGTGAGGGAGAGCTATCAAGGTGATGAATACAGAAACAAACGTTATGAATATGAGACCCTTGATGAGTCGGAACAAGAGTTGGAAATTTGCACTGAGCTGTCTTCTTCCAACAGATACGGCCTGAAAAAAAAAAAAAAAGGTTATCAGTACTAGCCAGCTTGAGGAATTTAATTTACTTAATTTAAATATGAATCGCTAACCAAAACTCGTCAAAATTGCTGCCCAGTGAATAGAATAAATAAACATTCTTTGAATAACTAATCTCTAGCAAGCCAAGTTTACAATCAACAGATAAGATTAGAAGCATCAGGCTAATGGGTTGTAATGCTGCAGTGATATTCAAGGTAGCGATTTTGCAATGAGGGTTGCCACAGGAAAATGATCCAAAAAAAAAAAAAAACCCCAGCTATGTCTGACATGCATAATATAAAGTAGTTTGCAGCTCTGTCTGACTCACCTTCATTATTAACAATACTAGAATGATCACAATCCATGAAACACCATAAACCTGTAAGCCAATGGAAATTAAGTTCAGAATAATTTTAATGCTTGCTTCCTAAACATCAAAATTATATCGAAGACACAAAAACATGAAGAAAAAATGATGATAAAAAGTATACCAAAAAACTTTTGGTCTTGTCGATAATACTGAGATGGTACACAAGGCCATACTGAAAGATGAAAAAGCGCAGTGACAACAGTATCTCCATAATGATGCCTCGCTTCCCAGAATAGCGAAGATGCTCTTGCTCCTTTTCCCACCAGGATTCCCAACTCTTTTCTGGAGGTACACCAATCCCTCCACGGTTATCTATCCATTTATTCCAATCTGTCCAGTCATCAACAATCTTTTGCCACTCAAACCCTGATGGATTGAAAAGGAAAGGAGCAAAGAGCCATGTCCCCACCATGAACCACATTGATATAGTGATCAAAACATATGCAACTACACCTCTGTATGAACGCCCAAATATATGGAATACAAGAAGCAGAAACATGAGTTCAATCCCTTTGACAAAATGGGTGCGAGAATACATCCTGTAGTTATCAGCAAACTTGGCATGGAACACTACAAAGCCACGACCAGTACCCCTGTATTCTGCTCCTCCATGCAGCAATGTCCTTCCATAATAGTGGGTCTTTGTTCCGAGAGAAAAAGTGAAAAATACAGGGGCTAATTGTAGCTGCATCAATATGAAATCACTTAATGCATTACGAAAACCCCTCTCCAAACCAATTTCCATCATCATAGGCAAGGCCATCAAAAATCCAATTTGTACAAACGACTGAGAAGCAAGAGCCACTTGAAGAGGCTTGTTGTCTCGAATGGCTCGCTCAGTACTTAGGCCTTCTTCAAGTCCACTAAGAACGAGGTATAGGCGGCCATATAGAAATACATAGACTGTGAGTACAGTCAGCTGTCGAAGAATCAAGATCTTTTGGATTAGTATACAGAAAGGTAATGTATACACTCTGAGAAGGACAGTACAATTCATACGTACCATGGTACTAAAATAGAAACCAATTGTGGTGAAGTAGCATGACAACATTCGGAAAAAATCAAATCGATGTCCAAGCCTATATATGTCGCGACTCAATGTCTGCTCACCATTCCCATTGGCTATCTTTGCCTCAAACATAGATATCTGGTTAAGGCCCACATCCCTCCCTTTGCCAACTTGGATATATTCATGATGAGTAACATTGCCTTCACGTAATGTAGAATTAAAACCTGATGACAATAGGAAAATGAAAATAATTAGCAGTGAAGCAGAAAACATATATTTATCAGTGTAAAGAACAGAAGAATGCCTGCAAATATGTCCTCGCTTAAATTGATGACTTTGGAAGCTTTGCTGACACCCCCTCTCGTCAGGTGAAACAGTCTATCGAACACATCTGGATGACCATAATGGAACCGTACTCTGGATGAGGAGCAGAGATCATCAATTCAGCTTGTCAGTATCAATGTAAATAAACATAAGAAACAAAACACAGACAAGAAAAGGCGTACATACAAGATTGACAGTGATGTAAAGTACTGAAAAGAGAGGAAAAGGTAATACCAGACTGCTATTTCCCTCTCTTTTACAGATGAAATTAAAAAGGTGGAACATATTTAAACTTATGCTAACAGCAGATATCTGCAAGCCTGAAAATTTAGGCTTCTCCATAGCCAACTCAACCCAGTGCTAACAAAGCACAAAGACTGCACCATCTCCCCAACAAAAAAACTATTATAGCTCTAGCAACAATAGATGTATGGGAGTTAATAATAGGGTTTCTGTTACTTCCTACAAACTGCAAACCATACAGCAGTCAATACACACATGAAATTCTTTTATTATTATATAACCTATTAACGTAAGACTTCCATTGCTATAACATCATTATCAAGAAGATTTCTCAGTTGAAGTTGGAATCTTACTTCAAAGGGCTAGCCAACAATCTCTGACCAATGGTAACAAAACTAGTCTCCTGATTTGACATAAACCATGCTAGAGATGAAACACTGCACAGATCAACCAAAACCTTTAGTGAATGCAGACATTGAATCTTAATATTCCAGCATCACTGCTTCTATAATTCACTTTCCAAGAAAAAACACCAATCGGAGTACCTGCCAGTGAATATATGCTCCCTAAGCCCAAGAATTGTTGGACATCTCACACCGTCATGCTTTTTAAGAAATTCTTGGAGCAAGTTCCTCATTTTGAAGGCTTCTTCCATATAGTTATCCTATTGCATGGATATTTATCAATTAAGCTTCTCATTGAATTTGAATTTTCCATAATCTACTTGCTTATTCAATAAATGGAGCACCTGGTTCATATCGATTGTTTGCAAGCCTTCCCCACGAGTGAAAATAATAGCATGGTTCTGATTTTCCGGTTTTCCCTCGCCTAATATTGCAGGACCTGGAAGTTTTATCCGATAAATTACCTGCAGAATGAAATTCAAACAATTAATTGCAGGAATCATGCTAAAAATAAAATTCCGTCAGTTTAATTGCAGATGAAGAATCCGACAAGTCTCACACTCCGCACCACAAATGTTCATGAACACACATTCACCGGTTATATGAGTTTTCTCATCAATGACACTCAAAATGCATCCCACGGTAGTATTCTTCTTAAAGTGGTTGGGTTAGTGGAGAGAGAAGTGAAGATATCTTAAAAATCCCAACGTAGGAATAATCTTTTTCTATTAATTTTAGACCAAACCTCTGTTTCTAGTCGTAAAACTGTTGGTGCACCTATTGAAAACAGAGGCAGCTTAAATGACCAAAATGACTTTAAACCAATTAAATTCCACAATAATTCAGTTAACTCGATGGATACATTAAGGCACTTGAAAGAGGAGTTCCAAGAATGTAGTAATCATTTCCCCGTTATATTAGACTATCAAGTTCAATAAATCAATTGAAAAGAAAAGTACATGGATTTGAGCACATGACTGGCCTCACTCACTGCATCACACACTCCTCCCTCCTCCCAACCCTTTTTTTTTTTGGGTCATAGAAGAGAGAAGGGTTTAACATACACTGAATACCGAATCAATAGAGAATAGTGTGACAGCACATCAAATGTCTATCATGCATTTCGTGCCAGAGCTTACTTCATTTAAGAATAAAACCAGTAGTAACTTTCTCAAGCAATCAAATTAGATTCCTGAACATTCTAAGACCTAAGCAAGCTGAGAAAACATTGCAAGATTAGTACCTGATCTAAATTTTGAACTGGTTCAGAAGAATCAATAGGTTTGGTAGGAGGAGCAACTTTCACGAGAGTTGAATAATAAACCTTCTCAACCATCTTTTTGAATTTATCTTTGCCAGTTTCTTCTACTTCGTCAATATAAGCCACACGAAGAGATGGATATCTGCCTCCAGGAAAGCAATGAAATGATATTAAGAGTTCCTCACAAATGTCAGAACAAGTCAAAAGGATAGTATTTGAAAAAAAGCAAAAAATTGGGAAACATACGTTCTCATGAGCCTCAAAATGTCTTTGGCAAGATCATCACCAGCACGTTTGTGCTTGCCATATTGCTGGCATGACACAACATATGTGAATTTCATGTCAACTACTGCTTGACATTGTTGCAAAGTTGAGTTATCACTCTTTGATGATCCCTCGCTATTTAATTCAGCAGCCTTGTAGCCCTTCATTAGTTCTGATACAAGCAATGAGTATTAAATAGGAGAGCAATTTGCTTAATGAAAAAGGAATGGTGCAATTCAACATTTACAATCAAGATTTGGCCAAGTACCTTCATCCTTTGCCATATCAAGGAATGCCTGAAGTTCCAAAGCTTTTCGGTAATACATCATTCCTCGTACTTATTTGTCAAAGGTATCAAGAAGAAAAGCATAGAGTGCATACAGTCAATATAAGAACTACTCTACGAATTCTAACAAGATACACAAACGCTGCAGGGCGGGGTGGCAGGTGGGGGTTTCCCACTTCCTACCTGTCTTTGTCAATGTTTGGCCTCTATATGATGCCCACAAACGGAGTTCTTCCTCCAGTCCATCTGTTGCTCGGAGTTCTTCCTCGCTGTTACATCCAACCCGTTCGAGGAAGTTTTTCCATTCATCTGTGTTAAATCACGGATACATGATAAAGCGTATCACTTCTCCATACAAAATTTTACTGACAATTAATTAAAAAGAAACTAAGATTAGGAAAAAGAACGAATGAGGTTAACCTGGAAAGATTTTTTGCAAGTAAAAAAGGATAGAAACACCATCTTCATTTTGCTTTTCCAGAAGATTTATGGAGTAAAGAACCTCTTCGGAGTGATAAGGAGTTAGGACACTAAAACAGAAGACAAATGTGTCACCTTACACATGCAAGTAATAACTACAGAGACATTTTGTCACACAAGAATACAACAATAGTAAAACTTGGCTCTATAGTACTTCAGGTTTCAGAGTAGTTACAAAGATCATTAAAAAAAAAAATGTAACAATGAGGAAAAGGAGAAGAAAATTCAAGTAATCAAGACACCAATCCAAGTCTAGCTAAAACTTGGCATTTGACATTGCTGCTGTATATGCCAGAGTCATTCATGACAACATAAGTTTAATTTATGCTTTAAAGAAGATGAACGTGAAGACAGCTTACGAGAACGAAAGCATATTACGAACTTTAGGTGCATTAGGCATTTCCATGAACAATGAATTGGAGAAGAAAGAGATGCGCCTTCTAGCTTCCAAGTTAGATGGCACATCCATAGCAGACTCCTTCACAGTGAGCAATAGATGAAGCCTTCTGATCTATTGTATACAAGAGGATTAGAATATGTTATCTCCAACTATGTCTTGTAGTCACAGAAAGACAATAAAAACTGAAAAGGGAGAGGGAAGAAAAGAAGAAAGAGGGAGAAACCATTCAGACAATAATAACACACTACTACAGTCGACTTGCCAAAATGAAAATGGAAGAAAGGAATTAGGCCAAATGTACTGAGTGATAATTACAAGCTAAAAACTAGTTATATAACAAGAGTGCCTTAGGTGCTTGAGATACTAGCAAAGGGGCTTACTCTTTCTTTCCAAGCTTCTATCTCTGGGACTGGAAATCTGAGATTGCCAAAAAACTTATTCTGCTGATCAAGTGGTTTCATTCCCTCGTCATTTCCATAAGATCCGCCATGGCTTGAATCCAGCAAACTACAGTGGGGAAATAATAAATGCATAACATAGCTATACACATGCTAATAAGTATGGAGGAATCACTTGGATTCGAACAATTTACCTAGGAATATCATCATCCATTATGTCCCTGGTCACAACCTCTAGCATGTCAAGCAAGAGAATGACAACTTGATTCTTGTCATCCTTGTTATTGGTTATCTGTCATATATACTGTTTCAGTTAGTTGGGGTATAGCTTGACTAAACAGATATACACACAAGTTTCTGTCAGGAAAACATACCAAATATTCAATTAGCTTCACAAATTGTTTATTGAGAGTTGGGAGAGCACTCATATTTAATTCTTGTATCAAGGTGTCCTTTTCTATATAGTCATCAACTTTGGAGAAAATATCGTTTATAACCCTAGACAAAGCAAACAGTTAAGATGATAACCTACATCTTGACCGATAAACATAAGATCTCCTTCTAATTTTGACTAAATTATATATATATATATATATATATATATACAGCATTGAACTCACTTTTTCTCCTGTTCTCCTTGAACCAAAAAATAGATGACACTTTTAAAAGAAGCATAACACTCACGAACTGCACAGACCATATAATTGTCTGAACCCAACCTCTTTTTCAGCTCACGGTCTTTTCCATTGCTATCTTTTGCCATGTCCAATGCTATTGGGATCTGTATGGTCTGTAGGTTACATTTACGTGTTCAAGTGAGGCTAAAGACATAAAAGAATTCAGGAACAAATAAACCTTGCTAGCAAGCAAAAATGGAGGCCACTGAATGAGGTCTAGTTCACGATCAGCCCAATATGGGACAAGCATCAAATTCATTTCTCTGTAGATTTGACAGATATTAACATGTATTAGAAGTCAAAAGGATGAACATTCACCCTTATTCTAAGGAAGGTTAAAAAAAAATTCCAATTACAAGTCCTTATGATACCTAGTATTTATCAAATCCTCATCCCAGAAGCTACTGATTATTTTATTCCACATTTGCGCAAACCTTGCTTCCTCCTTCTCTTTGTTGGATGCGATCTGTACTACCAAGCTAATTGATTAAGACTCTAAGATAGGCATATCAGTGAATAAAATGATGAGAGAAATGGAAAAATGTGGGTCACTAGCTCATTATTATTTTCAACCTCTGTAAATTTACGAGAGAATGTGGCTTTCAGTCCTCTCTTCTTGCTTGTCTCGCCCTTTTCAGAAGGAATCAAGCAGGCATTGAAAGCACCTGGTAATGATTGGAATCGAGACCTCAACATTCCTAATGTTCGAATCTGCAAATGAAACAGAAACAATAAATTACTCCTCAACAAAACACAATAATGGCATTAGAATGCATTCAACCAAAAATTTATCAGATTTCACCAAAAAGTATGATCAAGGAGTATTTTTCATATTTGCTGAACAAATGTTACCAACACCTTTTCTTCATGCTCAACTGCTTAAAACCCTAAGGGATTAAGACCCACATGCACAGCCTGAGGCAGGGCAGGGTTTGCTTTTGGTAAATGCAATCAAGGAATCATGCCAACATTAGCACAGCATCAGAATTACTGTTTACCAAGATTAGTACGGCTTCACTGACTTGTAAGAAGTCAATGGATAGTTATACAAAGCAAATTGTGAATTCATTCATGCCAATTAAAGCAGTGTACTCCAACTGGGAGGCAGATGAATGAGAGAGTCACTTCCATTGCGATGGACTTTCCTCCACCTATTATGAACAACATTTCTCAGCTCTCATTTCTTTACATAACTGATGTTAAGCATTCCTAACATCAGTTTAATTACTGGTGCATCAATGTATCGACCAATCCATAAGAACCAATGTATTTTCTTTGAATCAACTTTTCTACCACACAACAGTTGGAAATTAGATCCCATCAATATGCTCCATATGCATATCAAACGATTCTTAACCACATTCTTCACAATCCAGAAATAATTCAATATACATACTTGGACATATGCATATAGCCAAAAGTTCAAAGGTAACCAGAATCTATAGAGAAAACAATACCAACCTCTCCAAGACGGCGAAAAGCACCATATATGCCTCCAAATATAGTTGAGTAGATGGCATACCAAATCTGAGTATCCATAAAATAGACCTGAAAAGGAATCACCTAGATCAAACAGAGAGCTTAATGTTTGAAAAAACAATTGCAGAGAGGTGGCCATGGAACAAACATACAAGAACAATAGGAGCCCACAAAACAATCACAACACCGATATTGCTCTTGGCTGCAAACAGAAAATGATGGTATTATAAAACTTTCCATTGTATAAGAATTAAGAAGAACGCATTTCACTCATGTTATTACCTCGAGGAAAAAACTCATGCCACTGGTAGGTGCGTATGTGAACCTTCATGATAGCTTTTGTTGGACCAACAAGTGGCTTAACCTGCAACAAAGAAGGTTCATTTGTAGGAACCCATTACTTCCATATCAAAATTCTTTCTCATCTGTTTACGATGTTTGCTAACTATACTAGATCAGTTTTCATCAATTCATTAAGCCTTAAACTTTGCTTCCAACCAACATCAGGCAGGGATTCTTTTCTATTGCTTTTCATTTTCATTTTTTTCTTTTTTAAGAAAGCAATTATTAAGTTCACAATAGATGAAACTAATAATATGCCAATTGGCAACATTTCATTAAGCTAGTAATTCTCATCATCCTTGGAAGTCTTTTGCATTAACTTCAGCAGCAGATGCAGGTGCTGGTGAAAATAGAATTTTAACAAAAAATTATCTATGGATCCAAGTACCACTCAAGAGAGCTTCAAATTGGTTAAAACAAGTTCAGATGAAATGAAATGTATAAATTATCAAATGAAATATACATTTTAATGATCAATTTAAAGTGCAAGTTATAATTAATTAAGAAATTTAGAACCCCAATCCTAAAGCTTTTAATAGTCGCGAACATATGGTTCAGACAGAAGCATAATTAATTACTTATTTAATTGAAGGATTATTGTTAATATACACCCATAATTATCATTCACATATAGTCAAATGCTAATGTTGAAATGGAAACAGAATCTATTTATGATTTAGTCCCAGAAATAATGTCAATTGAATCCTAGTTTATTTCACCAGATTAAACATCTGAACCCAACTTAGGTTAAAATGGAAACCGAGACTCGGTTGATAGATTGATATAATGCTCATTGTGCAGGACGGGCAAGAGACTAATGAGCAAGAGATGTACCTCTACGTAATAACTGAAAGCTAATTTTGACACTAATAGGAGAACCCAAAACATGGTGTACCTAGAAAAATTGAAGTAAATAGAAGTTTTAGTAAGAGGAGCAAATAACTCAGTAGTCACTGGAAACCACAAGCATCCACAAGTCCAAATATTAACACTTACTTGAACAGTGAAACAGAACTCTCATGCATTCCCCTTCCAACATAGAGCCGAGGCTGCAAGAAATCAGAGGACATCAGGGAGGTTGCAGGTATGTTTCTATAGGTAAAGTTTCCATAAAACACAATCATCTAGAAAGTTTTAAAGCAAGTGTATGCATACCTGTGACCACCACATCATGAACATCACAATCTTAAAGTTTGACCGTTCAAGAAACCTCCGAATGAATGGGAACAGGAACAATACCGAAGACATTATATTTGGAGATAAGTAAATTAGGATAGCCATAATGAACAAAGAAGGTGAACTTGGACTATTGCCAAACCATTTCTTAATGGTCTGTCCAAATCCAGGAGGATTTTTCCAACTATAAGCATATGTTACTGGTAGAATTATGACCCATGCTGCAGCTGAAAGAACCTTTAAAACATATCTTGTTTTGACATATAATGGCATAGTCTTCCTTGCCTTCCACATCAGAATGATATCAATGCCAGCTGAAATAAAATAGACTAATTAAATTGTATTGATAAATGCGTAGGTGAATGGAACAGAATGTAGCAGTTTACTCAGATTACCATAGAATTCTAAGCTATAATCTTTAATTAAAAAAAAAAAAAAAAAGCTATGTACTAATAACGTAAAAGCAGATACTTAAATTCTGGGATTTGGAACTAAGGCATGTACCATCAACACAGTCTAGATGGCTTGTCATTTAAGGACAGAAAGAGTTGAGAAAAACTATCCGTAACTGTCTTTCCATTTTTCTTTTATCTTTCTAAACATCATCATAGGACTCTTTTCAACCTGTCACCTAATCTTGCTGATATGATTTTTAGTCTATGTTTTCATCAGAGAAAACAGTAAGACTTTGAAAATGAGGTTTCCACTACATGGGTAATGAGGGAAGTGCGAGTTTGCAAATCTGCAAGACAAGTTGATGTCAATATCTAGATCATTACCTCTAAGCAACTTGCTCAAATTTTAAATGTGCCGTCCAAATTGGAATTAAATGACCAATTGAACTTTCATTGAAGTCTGTCAAACCCTCGACCAGTAAACAGTCATATAAATATTCTGTGTAACTTGTGCTATTTGTCAGTAACAAATTATTTTCAGCACACTTAAAATTCTGGCTATCGATTCCAGTCAAAATACATCAATCTGGCATTTCAAATCAGGGTACCGTGGCTAATTTTCCAAAGAGAATTAGAATTGGTAAATGGTGATATATAAGCTATACTTAAAACTAACTGGGCATGCCAATGAGCTTGTAGCTCAACTGGCATGAATGTCCCCCTCCCCGAAGAGGTCTCAAGTTCGAGCCTCTCCTTTGTAACTGAAAAAAAAAAAAAAAAAAAGGAACTGGGCATAACATAAATGAAAAGGTCTATAGGCTCAATAAAATAATAAGCAATGCACCAACATAAAGCCTTTGAAAGAACTTTTCCTCTACCTTGTACAAAGTTCAGTATTGCAGAAGTGATGAAGATGCTCAGAACTTTCTTGAAAACATCACCTTCAAATACAGAACTCAATTTTCCCGATCCATTCCAAGCAATGATAATCATCGCCTTAATTGAAGAGAACATACCAGAATAACTCATATTGTTGAAGTATTATCAGAAAAGAAAATTCTAAAAAATTCATTTTATAACAGATAAAAAGCAGAGAGGTTTACCTGAAAACACAAAATAAAGAAGCTCCACATTCTATCAAAACTTCTGAAAATATGCCAAAATGATCTTATTTCAACGAAATTAACTTTTCCAATCCATCGATCCCCTGTAACTGGTTTCTTAACCTGAGTATCACAAATAGAGAATACCAACCATGAGAAGTGAAGCATCAGAACCAAAATCATGCTCACATGTCACTAGTCATTATGCACATAAAGTTTTGATTTGTAAGCGATAATTTCTTTGAATCACAAATTCAATACAAATAAGCTCCACTTTCAGAATACTGCCAAGGATTGACTTTTTGACAGCTAAAGAAGTGAGAGAATTTGGTATATATCCCTTGAACTGAGCTAATCAGTAATCGAGTCCTTAGAGCCTAGAATATAGTTCAACAAGACAGTCAAGGTATACATACCTTTAAAAGAGATAAAGAAAGAAATCAAAGTGTAAATATACCTTAATAAATATATCCATCTACGTATATATGTCATATAAGGTTGTCAGCAGACACATACTCTACTGTTTCTATCATTCTTAATCTCTACTCCTTGTCTCTCTATCATAACCTTGCCAATGAGGTTTAAGAACTGTGCCCTCCCCTATCTTGAAGGAGAAAGAAACGGAAAATCTTTTGGGTACACATGGCATAGATGGTTGTTAAGTCATAATAATTTGCCTTTCCACAACTGTCTCAGAATGTCGTCAAGTCAGATAAAATTGCCACCGATATGCAAAATGCATCCCTAGGTGCTTGTAATGGATATTTATAAAGCAGGTTTAAGCATTGCAGATCTCAAGCATGATACGAAATATAATGCATGGGTGTGCACCACATACTTTCCAAATAAAACTTGAAATTGAAGCTAGAGGCATCGTGTTGGAACACACATTAAGCAAGGCTCAAGCCATAAAGTTTTAAATGGTGGCCAAACATAAAGATAATTTCACCATTTTTAATTGTAAAGTGCTGGAATGAAGAAGGGATTTGAGTTACCAAGCTGAAAGGCTAAGTCCACAGTATTTACCAGCAATCATATGTTGAAACAGGGAAGGTGAAGAAAGAGAAACAAACAAGAAACATAAGCCCAAAATTGTACCTACCTCATCATTATCAGGTCGAAGCTCCTCCACAGGGAGGCAAAAGAAATCAGCATCAGCACGCATGGGCCATCCTAATCGAAAACAGTCAACTGACCTACAATTTCAAACCAACTCACTATTTACAACTTACAGCATCACAAATTGAAATTCTGAGCAAGAGAATATAAGCATTGTACCAAAAGTATTCATTCAAATCATCATAGTTTCTCCATTTAGAATGCTTCGACCTTCCTCCTTTGCTCTTTTTGGCTTCCATGGCTATCGTGTCATATATAGGTTTTACTACTTTACTTAAAAAAGCCTCATTTTCACCACCATAGGCTGGCTTTATGTGCTCGCCCGTCATTGGACTGACACTCCCAGCCAACATTCCATACAATTCAAATGCCATCTATAAATATTAGAGTTCAATAGGTCAAAACATCCTTAACCATCAAATATTCCACCACTCAAATAGAAAGTCAAACTTCATAAAAGAAAAATCAAGTATAAGGAATTAAAATTTATTCACAAGTCTATATAAGTCGTACTTTTTTTCAACAAATGCACATTGAATCATGAAAATTTGCTAGCTAAATCATGGCTCAGTCTACTTGTCATGTGGTTGAGCCTTAGAATGAATTTTTATTACAAGGATATCCTAAAGGAGAAATCTATTTTTGATTAATTTTTGTTACTTTAATTAACTGCGTTGATGCTTCTATAGTTACAGAAAAAAAGCATTGAATAGGTATCTTTATCTAGCATCTCCCATCTGCCCCAATATCCAAAAACACAGAACAAAGCAACAGCTTTATTCTGTATCAACAATGGTAGTCTCAGCTTTTTCTCCCTTCGTCATCCCTTTATCTGTACTCTGTACAAGTCTTGAAAGGTCCGTTATTTTCTGATTATAAATCCTTCCAGCTTTAACTCCTAAACTGAAGAAACTGTCTAAAAGAAAAATATTGTCGATAACACTCTTGCATGCATTCATACATCATATTTCTTTAATAAAAATAGGATTTATGACCAAACTATAATAAAAAGAATGTATATTCTATCCTGACACATTCCTCCGTCTATGGAAGTATGCCTTGTAATCTCTAAACAAGTGAAATCTCCTTGAAACCTATTCATTGCATCTTATGTCAGCAACACTATCAGCATTGCAAGCAAATATTAATACCGTTCTTAAGAGAACCTATAGCTAATCTTGGATTTTTATGCCAATGTCACATTCAGTAGGTTGCAAACTGAAAAAATTAGTCTACCAGGAAATATTTTGCAGGGCGTAGTTTAGATCTGAAAGATTTAGCAAAGAAAATCAAACATGAAATAGAAAAATATAATTATACATTCTTCATTTAGGTATGTCATAATAAAAAGTTGAAAGCCAAATCTCATGCATACATGATGATATATATAGCAAAGGCATTCTGGCATGAATCTCAAGTTTGCTGCTTCTCCCCATATAAGAAGATATAGGCCCATATAGAGTAGTTTTCTCTGTTGCACTTCCTGTTGAATAGTTGGCAGCCTACCATTCAAAATAGAAGCATGACTAGTGAAAACAGTAAGAATGAAAATGAAAGTAAGAAAAGTAAGAACATGAGAGTGAGGTGCTCTGCACTTCCTGTAAGTGAACAGCAGCAAATGAAAGGAGCACCAAATCTCTACTGGTTATGTGAAGACTTTAATTTCCCACTCAGCATCTCTCTAATAATGATAGTGCAAATAAATTATGTGATTTAAAGGTAGAAAAGCTCACCAAAGGCTACTTTTGCGTCCCAAATACTTGCACCATCTTTTGTAGTTTTTAAACAGTCTCTTCATGATATCTGTCAGAGCATGGTCATCCAACTAACAAGAGAAAAATGTACAGAATGTTGATTAATGCATGAAGATTAGTTCCAAAGTAAAGAAAATAACCCTTAAATGAGAAGTAACAACCTTGGGTTGCTGTTCAGGCTTTGGAAATTGTCGTATATGCACATTTGCGAGCAACAGAATCAAGTGCTCCCTTTGATTTGCCACATTATCTTTCTACATATCATCACTTTATTATAATCAACTAAAATATCTTGGATATAACAGGAAGCAACCAAGTTAGTCACTCACCTGAAAGCCAAACATAGCCTGAAGCCAGTCTAAAATGTCTTCATTTACTTTCTTCTTGTGCCCCTTTGGCCATGGAAGACCCCTGGTGTTTCGAAGTGCAGAAACAGTAGCTTGAATCTGCAAGTTACATAACCAACCAAGACTTTTCATCATTACTCAACAAGTAGTAGAAAAATATAAAACAAAAAATTCCAGACAAGACAGAATTGACCTCAGGAAATCTCATAATAGCTTGATGTTGACTGTCAGGATCGAGAGGAAGGATATTATAGGGCACATAAATTCGGGTCTTTTCTTCAACTTCAGTCTGAGCTTCCAAAACCTACAATAGAAGACGAGGAAAGAAGAGAGGCCTTATACAAGATGTCAAGTATATGACACAGCTATCCACTAAATGAATGTTTCCAAATTCAAGTATATTTTTCTTAGAAAGATGAACAGATAATAACCCCTTATTAAGAAAAATTATCAACCTAACCTCATCATCTACTTTAACAGACTCTGTCTGGTTGACAGCCTTCAAAACCTCAAATAGAACAGCAGCAGTTTGATAAGCTTTTGTAAGTTGGGCACTGAACTAGGAACGTGAACTTGATATCAGAAAACAGAAAAATACATCCAGGCAAGTTAATTTACCAATAAATCAGATATGTTCCAAAAATCTTACCGATCAGCTTTATCAGCAGCATTTCGTAAAGCTTGTATATACTTCTGATAGTAATCTAGATAAAATTTCTGCATTTCTCGAGCATCACTTATCGTCTTTCCTTGCATGGTGGTTTCATTTTCCTGGAAGACCAAAAGCATAATAGAATTTCAAGTAATTCCAAATGGATCCTTCACAAAATAATACATTGATAAAAATTTAAAAAGCAGTTAGGAGGCTCAACATGAGGGAGGATTGTACCAAGACGAAAGACCACAAACAATGACTGCTGGAAACATTAATAAATTTTTTTGAAGCAATAAGAACACTTTCAAATAAAGCAAACCAAGAACAGGAAACTGTACATGTTCAGCAAAAGCAATCTACAATGTGCTCAGTTCAAAGAAATTTGTCTTGATGTCACATAGAAACATCCTCAAGGAATTGTCCTTCACAAGATTACATTTCTTATCCTTAGGAGGATAACACTACGACAAGTCTGTCTTGTAGAAAATTAGACCAGATGAGTGCATGAAATTAGAGCTTACCCTTTCCAAACGTTGTAGAAGCGCAGTTTTAAACTGGCGAACACCACGCCCACTAGATGTGGGATCTAGTCTGTGAGCTTTCTCAAAGGCATAGAACCGACCTGTTCCCATATGAGGACAAACAGTATATGAGTAAATAGCACTACTTATCTACTGATTACAAAAAGATATACATATAAATATACATGTATGTGTGGATAACAAAATGCTGAAAGGCAAGAACTCTGATGGAACTTATTAAACTCTATTCACTTAGAAGTTCTCATTTCCTTCTTCAATCACATGTGCATTTTGAAGCTTCAATTTTCAGAACTATGTCCACAGAATCGTTAGGGGGAAAAAAATAGCCCCTCCCATGGATAAAATATTCTATACAAACAAGAGGATTCCAATAAAAACAGATGATTTTATTTATTCTTAAAAAGCAAATAAACATGGCTACGTACAACAAACAATATAATACAATAGAAACTTACAGAGATAAGCAACTCTAGCGTTGCTAGCCTCTACTTGATTAGCAACACGGAGAATTGGAGCAATCTCAACCAGAGAAGAAGGCACCACCTCACTGTCCAGCATGGACTCTCCTAGATTACCAGCAGTCTGAGTCCGCAGAATCCGCCTCTGCGGCTGTTGCTGATCAGACCCCCTTCTATTTGACATCTCTGATGTGTTCTACTGATCACCTAAAGACCTTTTTGCTTACCTGCCAAAAGCCATCAAACATCAACAAGGGGAGCCGAAGAGGGGGGGTTGTTTGGGAACACTCTCGTTTCAAAGAAATAGTAAGAAATGAATTCAAATGAAAATTTCCCTTTGTTATTTACCAAAATCACAACTTTGATCCAAGGCAATTCCATAATTCACATGAAACCTAATTCAACTATTAGACTTAATTAAATATGTTTATGTTTCCCTTTCTAAAACAAAACAATAAGAGACAATAATACCCACAATTTTTCTTTATTTCCTTTTCCTTTCATCTATTTGCACACAAAATTATTATTATTTGGTAAGCCAGATTGAATTAGATAAAGCACCATGAGACCAGCAGGCCAGTACGGAGAAAGGAAACAAAGATAATGGACAGCTATGTAAAGAAGCAAACAAACAAACAGAAAAATGCCAGAGACAAACAAAGAAGAAAGCAGAAAATAGGACATGAACAAATCTTCAGCCCAGCTGAAACCAAAACCCAGCCTGATAACTGGAACAACACAAATAAAGTGCAGAATCACAGACTCCAGCAGCCAGAAAGGAAAACAGATGCCAACAGTACACATTTCAAGACAAGGCTTCCAGGAGAACTACCAAGATACTTTCTTAACACACATAGATTCAGAAAACGCAGTAAGGAAACTTTAACCCAGAGAGATATTTCAGACGGGTGGAAATTGCAGCAGCTCACTTATAAACTTATAAGAAAACCACAACAGCTAGCAATAAAAATTCATTTATGCAGAGGAAGTAGCATAGAGAGAAGATCATTAGTGCAGATGAATCAGCATACTGAGACGGTTAAACCACCAGAGAAGACCGAAAATGTAACAGTTAACAGAGAATTAATTGTGAGTAAAGAAGCAGCCATCTGAGAAGACACAGATCTTAAAACACCACAGTGCAGAACAAAGCATATCCCTGACAGCTCACTAAGGAATCCAAAAAACAATGGGCATAGTAAGTCACTTCAGAAAGCCAATAATAGCAGCAAATCTGTGGAGACTAACCACAGCATAATCATGGCACAAAATCACCAGCAGATATCAAATCTGAACACCATATGCAGACAAAGAAATCACCAAAGCCGATCATGAATGCAGAACAAGCACCTTTGCAAGGAACACCTGAGCAGGACACATGACCAAGAGCAAGAGAATAACCCGGAAAATCCAAACAGCATAAGAATCTCCAAAGTAGCACCACATCAACCAAAATTCTCTATCACTTGTTCTATTTTTACAGCAATCAAACCATAGACAAAGAGGAAGTTGTAACAAAAATGCTTTCCTAATCATAGATATGATTTCATCCTAGCAAAAACTAACTCTCCCTCTATTTGGTTACCAACTACACCAAGAAAATGCACAACGAACGAAAATTCAACTGCAGATGATTGAAGTATAAGCTGAATTGGGAATCCGTTCTTTATTTGTCAGTTGTAGAATATGCAAAAACTAACTCTCCCTCTATGTTGAGTTACCTCTATTTTTTTTTTTTTAGTAAACCCAACTCAGCCAGCAGACAGAGCAAACAAAACAAGAAGAGAAAGATTACCACTTTATAGAGGGAGAACCAAAAGCAGAGAAAGACAAACAACTTCTTCAAGAACTCTGCTATTTATAAAAGAATTAAATACTTACTAGACAATAAAAGAAACAACAAGAAAATCAGAGAAAGAGAAAGATTACCACTTTTTTGACATAGAGAACCAAGAACTTCAACAACTCTGCACGATGATCATCAAGCCAAAGATTTCACCCTCTCTTACACCCTTGGCTTTTCCAAGAAACCCAACAACCCATCAGAGTCAAAAAAAAACTCAGAATTTTCACAAAAACTATATACTAGGAAGTAAAAAAAAAAAAAAAAACGAAACAAAAAGATTACCCCGGAGCCAAAAACTTTAAGAATTATGCATGATACATCAAGCCAAAGACTTCAGTTTTTGTAAACACTGATTGCTTTTCATATACAAAACAGTACAGCAAGAAAAGGAAAAAATATGTATAGAAACTGCTGCAAAATATTTGTAAAATTATTGCCAAGACGCAGAGTTGCAAACTATAAACATAGGACAGGTAAGGGAAGAAGAGAAGACAGAACGAAAGCAACTGCAACCAGTCAAGTGAGTTAGTCTGCTGTTAAGGCACTCTTTTCACACTTAATTTGTCCAATCAAAACATGCCATTTCATCCATTTCTCCAGCTAACTTCTCTCTTTCATTAAGGAGCGAAAAGGACTTGATTAGTAATTAAAATAAAAAAAGACTTGAGAAGAATAAAATAATACAAGCAGTGGGCAGGGAATTATACCGGTAATAATAATCTTTTATCTTTTCTGAGTTTTTGTAGGTGAAACGTGCGATCTGTCCTGTACTCTTGTTTTTGTCGTAACTTCGTCCCTCTACCAATTTATTTCTTAATCTAGTCCTGACACACCATGTTCTTTCCGTTAGTAATTTGGTCCCTGTGCATTATGTCGTTATTAATTTAGGCCATGCGTCAACACAAATAGTTCAGCATTACTATATTTGCATAAAATTGTAATGTAAAAAAATAATAATAATAAAATTTGGAAGCATTATAATCAAACAAGAAAGAAAACTGTGCAAATGTGCCAATCACTAATCCATTTGTACTGACACGTGACTTAAATCACTAATGCCATCCCAAATAAGGAGGGACCCCGTTGCTAGTAGAAGAATGAGGAGTACAGGGATGATATTAAGAAATAAATTGGTATAGGGATCATATTAAGAAAAAAACAAGATTACAGGGATGAATCTCATGTTTAACCCAAGTTTTGAAGAGAAAGACTTGAGTTGTTAGGGAAGGAGACTTTGATGTTTTGTTGCTAACTTCTAGGTCAAGCAATTGGTGTGTGCGTGTGTGTGTGTGTGTTAAACTTGGGAAAGTTGTACCATACACTTTACCTAGTTCAGGAGGACATACGGGTGCTGTTTAATTCAGTCTTGCTGGTTGCATGCCATACGTTCTGCTTTTAACTTTTATGGAGGGAGAGTGGATTGATGACTCTATTTCCCTGTTGAAATCAACTAAATAATATGCAAAATTGGAACTATAGACTCCATTAATGTTGGCTAGGCCTCTTTTTGTTAGTTTCTCCTTCCTTTTAATATTTCAGTCCAAGTAAACAGTGGTAAATATTGCGACACAAGTTGTTTAATTAGACATTTGCAGCCAATATCTTTATCGATATCGGGCGAAACTTGGAAGTTTGAAGAAAAGGATTCATCATGTTCTCTTCATGTGCGCTCAATTATTGAAGCAAGACTGATGAGAGAACTATAAATAAAAATACTATTCTATATTCCAACAAAAATTGAAATTTATTACAGCCTGAACGAGGGATAAGCACAAAAGTACTATTCTATATTCCATGTTTCTACAGATGTGATGAACTTTTTGAAAAGCAAAGCAAGACACGAAAGAAGAGAAGAGTGGGTAAAGAATAGTAGGTAAATGTTACATCAAAGTTTAATTAGACTAACTTCATTTGTTTGAAACAAACTATATATGAAAGTTAAAAAAAAAAAGTATATATATTTATTCTTTTTCATACAGGATTGAATATAATGTAAATTTTTTTTTCCCGAATCAATTTATGCATGTTAATATAGCGTTTTTAGAAGAATAAATTCTTCTAGACGATTTTACAGGTGTAGTCCATATATTCACAAACGGAGGAATGATGGTCATGTCTGTGTTAAGTGTGGAACACGGAACCGGAACCACTGTAATAATGAATATTTATGCAGGGTGCTTAGGTTATTAATATTGTGAATCCAAAACAAAAAATTAAAAAATGACCAAACAAATTTACACTCTAGTGGTCCACATCCACGGCCTGAATTCAAAGTTTCAACAACCTATCTATATTATGATTAATGCATTGAATAATAATAAGCTGACGAGGATCCTAACCCGATGTATCGTTTTCATGCATTGCTGCTGTTGCTAGTCTTTTTTGCGAGGTTGGAAAGTTGTGGAAAAAGAACTCTTTACCATTTGCTGATGTGAGCATGCACGGTCACAACCCAAATCATCTTTGGAAAATCTGCAACTTTTAACCTGCTTTCATTCTTCTTCCTCGCAGCCCTACGAAAAGCGACATGACTAAGAAGCTGCCTATTCTTTAACGTGAGAAGGCCCCATTGCTTCGAACCTATATATATAATCATGTTGCTTTTCTAATACATACATATAGATATATATCTTCTTCTCTTTCCGTGGATATACGTAGTAATCAATCATTAAATAATAAAAGGATTGATGCTAGTGTTTAATAGGTAGAAAAATAAAATAAAATAACCATATTATTACGATAAATTAAATTAACTATGGTTATAAAAATAAAAAACTATCGTAATTTATGTTTATAGTGAAGGTTTTTCAAACTTAAATACTCCCAAAAAAAAAAACATTATAAATTGTAGCATTGTTTAATTATATACCCATGTCTGTTGAGCAAAACAGAAAGGAACTTAAAAGTCTTCACTTTAATTTTGAATCATTATTGATTGACCAACATTCTTTATCTCCTTTTTTAACAGGTCGACACGACATATATATAAATTTGAAAATTAATCAAATAAGAAAATTAAAACCCAAAAAAAAAAAGAAGTAAATTAAAAAAAAAAACAATATTTGGGAAAGTTTTTTTTTTTTTTTTACATTCAAGATCTTTTAAGCCAACTCGAAAGAGATCCTAATACCAGTTTGAATTATAATTTATTAGTTTTAATGATGATTCTTTAGTTTTGAATTATTAAACTATTTATGGTCGTGTGGAAATATCACCTAATTATAAGTTTCATGATGGTTTAATTAAAATCTTTTATGAAGCCAAACTCGTGCTATATTAAGAAACTCTAAAGAGAAATTTTAATGTTAAAATAAATCAATCAATAAAAGATACAAGAGAGTTTAAGAGGGGTCATAATCATTTTAATACTATATTCAATCATTTATAAAGATCATTATTGTACTTAATCTAAAATTTTCAGAAAAAAAATAGAATTTTTTCTTAAAAATAAGAATAAATTCTCTCAATTAATTTAATCTAGACTGATAGTTTGGCACTCATCAGCCCCCTCGAATAACATCCATTGGTCCACGTAGTAAATCTAAACTGAAGCGAAAGTGCATTCACTGCTAGCACTTCTTCCAATTAGAAATAAAAAATATCAATCGAATCCCTATTTTATATATAATTATCATTTTGGTTTTAATCTATAAATTTTATCAATTAAATCTCAACTAGCTTTATATGATTCTCGATCAGCTTCTTGATACTGTGTGCAGTTTTGTTATCAGGAATAAATGGTTATCAGAAATGAATTATTGAGAATGAGAATGAAAAAAAAAATCAGAGAATGAAAATGTTATTTATATTTTCATATTGTATTTAAAATTGTAAATGAGAAGCGGAATGAGATTTCTAATTTTTCTTTTTAAGACAAATAAAAATCATAATTAAAAAGATAATTTTATCATTTATGATGGTAGTAAAAATAATAAAAAAAATTATGATGGTGATAAAAAAAATAGAAGTGATTGTGGTGGTTAAAGAAATGATAGTAATAGTAATATAGTAATAACAATAAGATAGTAGTGAAAGAAAAACGATAAATGTGGTAATATAATAAAAATGATAATAGTAGTGGAAGAAAAGCTGTTGACAAAATAACAATAATAATAATTTTTAATTTTTTTAGTCTCATTATCAATGATGGTGGTAGCAGCGACAACAATAATAGTAGTGATATAATAAAAATGATAGTGGTGATGACAAAAAACATAATAATAATTTTTTTTATCACCACCGTCAAGAATAACGCTAGTAAAAATAGTGATGATAATATAAATAATTAATACACAATAAATAAAAATAATATATCACTCTTTTGAAAAGGAAAAAAAATCATTTTCATTCTTTATTTTTATTCTCATCCCTCTCCATGAAAATAAAACTATATTTAACTTTTATTCTTATTCTCAATCTTCATTTTTATCCTTTCTTCATGTTTTTCAACCTAATACCTATAAAATGAAAATAAAACTTCACTTTGTTAGTGTAGGTGCCCAAGATCCAACTATGTTTGGATAAGTTTGAGTTACTTGTATTATTGCATTATTTATTTTATCAATAATAAAAGAAGTCTTTCTATTAATTCTATGTCTTATATTTATTTATTGAATAGAATTAGATAGAAGTCTATATGATATACATTTGCGTTAGTAATTGATCAAAAGATTTGAAACAAACATTAATGCGCATAAATGATATCATTAAATGTCTCAAGTCTGTATCATTGTCAATGAACATTGATTAGATGTAGATAGACTTGTGAGTGTTAAGCTCATATTGTATGATAGCGAGTAGGAGATCTCATTCTTATTAACATGATGATGTCAAAGCAAACACCTACGTTATTTATATTAGAGAAAATATTATTAAGCTTCCGAGGATCCTAACCCGATGTATCGTTTTCATGCATTGCTGCTGTGCTAGTCTTTTTTGCAAGGGTTGGAAATTTGTGGAAAAAGAACTCTTTACCATTTGCTCCCAAATCATCTTTGGAAAATATGCAACTTTTAACCTGCTTTCATTCTCCTTCCTCGCAGCCCTACGAAAAGCGACACGACTAAGAAGCTGCCTCTTCTTTAACGTGAGAAGGCCCCATTGCTTTGAACCAAATTATATAATCATGCTGCTTTTCTAATACGTACATATAGATATATATCTTCTTCTCTTTTCGTGGATAGCGTCCTGCCATACATAGTAATCAATCATTAAATAATAAAAGGATTGATGTTAGTGTTTAACAGGTAGAAAAATAAAATAAAATAACCATATTATTACGATAAATTAAATTAACTATGGTTATAAAAATAAAAAATTATCGTAATTTATGTTTATAGTGAAGGTTTTTCAAACTTAAATACTCCCAAAAAAAAAAAAACATTATAAATTGTAGCATTGTTTAATTATATACCCATGTCTGTTGAGCAAAACAGAAAGGAACTTAAAAGTCCTCACTTTAATTTTGAATCATTATTGATTGACCAATATTCTTTATCTCCATTTTTAACAGGTCGACACGACATATATATAAATTTGAAAATTAATCAAATAAGAAAATTAAAACCCAAAAAAAAAAATGTTTGAGAATGTATTTTTTTTTTTACATTCAAGATCTTTAAGCTAACTCGAAAGAGATACTAATGCCAGTTTGAATTATAATTTATTAGCTTTAATGATGATTCTTTAGTTTTGAATTATTAAACTATTTATTTTTGTGTGGAAATATCACCTAATTATAAGTTTCATAATGGTTTAATTAAAATCTTTTATGAAGCCAAACTCATGCTGTATTAGGAAACTCTAAAGAGAAATTTTAATGTTAAAATAAATCAATCAATAAAAGATACAAGAGATTTTCACAAGAGATTTTCAGAGGGGTCATAATCATTTTAATACTGTTATCAATCATTTATAAAGATCATTATTGTACTTAATCTAAAATTCTCAGAAAAAAAATATAGAATTTTTTCTTAAAAATAAATATAGATTGATAGTTTGGCACTCATTAGCCCCCTCGAATAACATCCATTGGTCCACGTATTGATCCACGTAGTAAACCTAAACGGAAGCGAAAGTGGATTCACTGATAGCGCTTCTTCCGATTGGAAATTAAAAAAATATCAATTTAATCCCTAATCTATATATAATATCATTTGGGTCTTAATCTATAAATTTTATCAATTAAATTTCAACTGGCTTCATATGAGTCTCCATCAAGTCTTTCTTCTAATGTTAATTAAATTTTTGTCAAATTTTTTATTCAAAAAATTTCTTCTTATTGCGTGAAAAATATGCATATTAGACAAAAGCTCTTAATAGAAATCAATAAAACGATCCAATTGAAAAATGTGTCAAATATTTTAGCAATGAAATTTAAAATGCTGGGACCTAATTGACAATAAGTGTATAAGTTGGTGCCTAAATTGCGATTGCCCAAAAAATACAAATTAAAATGAAAAAAAAAAACAGAGAGAGATAGAGAGGGAGAGAGAAGAAATCCCAAAAAAAAAATGGCAGAAGAAGGGAAATCAGATGCACAGCTATTTCAGCTCCTTTCCAATCTCCTCCAACAAGTCCGTTTCTTTTCTTTTTCGCATTGCTTTGTTTCTTTATTTCTTTCATTAGTTATTTTAATTATTTGTTTTATTTTTGTTTATTCTTATGTTTGATAAATGTCTTATTTGAGATGTTAAAGTATAGGAATTTGGCATGTGATTGAGCATCTGGGATTAATAAAATTGGCTTTTTTATGATCTAGTGAAATTTCTGATCTGGGATTTTCAAGTTGTGTCTTTATTTCTGATTTGATGGATTTGATTGAGTTTGTTGGCATTCACATGGTGTATATTCTATTTCTTGGTTACAAAAGAAAAAAAAATCAGTTGATATTGGTAATTTTATTAGATTTCACCTTTTGGATTCAGTAATTGTTTGGGGATTATCTCAAGTTCTCATTTCTAGGGACATTTATGCAAATTTTGATTTTGGATTAATTTTGTATTTGTTTACTAGAAGAAATGATCTGTGAAATAGTGTTCTTATAGTTCCCAACATAGCTTCTTTGAATATATGCTTATGACCCAAGGATCTCTTGGAGGTTTACGCAACTGAATAGCCTTCGGAGAGCAAAAATGTACACAAGGATTAGACCTAGACATCATAGAACAAAGCATCCATGAGTATGAATTTACTAAATTTACTTCGTTATCGAAAATCCACGTAGTACCTGGTTGAGATTAGCTGACTGCTTTTTATAAGGGTTAGCAGATGATATAGATAGGGGAACCTTTTGTGCTTTGGAAATCATCTAGATGGTGCTAGCTCGGAGAGTTAAACAATAGCAGGATTATATGGGAGTGGCATTTGCTCATCGGTTGTTTATGTTGATTATTAGTATGCTTATGTTGATAATCAGTTTGCCTTACATAGGAGCAGGATTATGTGAGATGTTCATGCGTTCATTGGGTAGCAGCAGTTGATGCTTATTCTATAATAAGAAGCTGCATTTGATATGCTCCTGGGGAATCTACAAATGATATGAACTTGTTTTGCATTTTGCATGCACTATGTGGATTGTATTGTGGTGGGAAGTGTGCTTTATTAGCCTCTCTGAGCATGAATGACTTACCCCTTACACCTGCTGCTGAAAAGTTTTTGAACTTGAAATTCTCCTCAAAGGACCAGCATTGTCTTATTTCAATAAATTGATCAAAAAACTAAATTTCGCACACAACACTTGGTATTGTATTTTTTTGTTCAGAAAAGCTTCACTTTGTGACAGATTTGAATACGCAATGTATGATAGTAATGCATGAGTACATGACAGGCTTAGATGGAATCTCTCCTTGGGCTGGTCCTCAGTTACAAAACAGGACATAGGGCATAACTTAGTTGCTACTTAATATTCATTACTCAATCCTCTGAACCTTTGATTCTTTGTCAGTGTTCTTTTTCATTAACTGGTCTCGCTAATTTAGGTGGAAGCACTATCCAACGAGGAAGAAGTTGAGCTGCGCTCCAAAATTGAAGCACTTGGATTAGAGGTTGCAAAAGTGCCTTCAAAGTCGACAGAGAATCTTGATGAGGTAAACTAAGGTCTTCGTTCAACTTTTTCAAATGTTAAAAAAACCCCACCCCCAAAAGTAATGTTTCTTTTTTAAAGTATAACCATTATTCTTTCAAGAGTTTGCTTAATGTGGGTGCTTTGATTTTATCAATAGCTGGAAATAGCAAGAGAGTTGGATAAATTATCAGCCAAGTTAGATGATGTAGATGAAATGATATCCTCGGCTCTGGCTTCAGATCCACAGGTGCAGTCACTCCTGAGTGACACTGCTGATGTATGGATGCCAGTTATTACTGCTAACGCTGATGAACGTCGGAACTTTATAACAGCAGTTGGAGATGATAAATCCGTAGAGAAAGGAGAAAATTCCAATTAATTCTTGCAGGCGGCAGGCCTGTTCTTATAGATTTTAGCTTCTGGTCTGAATTCTGGAATGACAGTTTTTTGTATAACCGTTGATATCTAATACATATTTCTTAATAATAATTTTTGTGCTTCTTGTCCATTCCATTTAACCTTCTCTTTTAACAATAAAATATTGTTCACTGGTATCAGAAAGGCTAGTTAGCTCTTTGGATTATCATATCGAGCAGAAATAATGTGAAGTTGTTTGTTGGTATTCCTACAATTGGTGCTATGATCGTCTTAACAAAATGAACCTTCTCTTTTGTTCTCCTGCAAGTCCACAATGCCTCAAAATTAGGCCTCAAACCTAGATGCTAGATACTTAAAGCTTCCCATTAATTGTTTTCTGCACGTCAACTTAATTGGAGGTGCAAGCTACTTCTCGACAGCTTTTTGACACTGGGTGTCAGTTTGGTTATCTGGAATAAAGGGTTAAAAAAAATGAACTGTTATCATCGAAAATGAAATGAGAATGAAATATTGAGAATGAGAATGCGAAAACAAAAATAAAAATTAAAAAATGAAAATGATATTTATATTTTTATATTATATTTGAAATTGTAAATGAGAAGCACAATGAAATTTCTAATTTCTAATTTTGTTTTTTAAGACAAATAAGAATAATGATTAAAAAGATAATTTTATCATTTATGATGATAATAAAAATAATTATGATGGTGGTAAAAAAATAGAAGTGATTATGGTGGTTAAAGAAATGATAGTAATAGTAATATAATAATATTTTTTAAAAATTAATATCATCACCATAAAAGATAGTAGTGGAAGAAAAACAATAAATGTGGTAATATAATAAAAATAATAATAATAATAATAATAGTGAAAGAAAGCTGTTATTATGGCTTTTTTACTGATGGTTTGCACAACACCAAACCACAACTCCAGGGAGCATTCATAGACCAATGCCCGTAATTTGGATCAACCCAGTTCTCGATTTATAAGTCCAAAACTCCTGACCACGTTGAGTAGAGGTGAACCTCTTGCACCGATTTATTCCTTTATGTTTCACATTTTACCCCATGAAGTTTCAAATATAACCAGAAAAGGGAGACAAAAAAGCCTGTCACCTAACTGATACTTCGGCATGGACATCAACAATACAAAATCCAATCTACTGTGAAGGAGGCACCTTAACAATTAGACCAAACAGCGACATTATGATAGAGCCAAAAACCCAACACGAGGGAAAAAACCAGGAATCCTGCCAAAATAGTAAGAAATGGAGGACCTTAGGCATCATCACTGGATATTATCCCATCAGATTTCTCTTCACTGGAATTTCCATCGGAGGGGCTATATTTTGATGCAAAGACAGTATATAACCTTGCCCTTAACTGCAATCTTGTGGCATTTTTGAACCTGTATCGGAAAATATTTAATTAGAGCAGCAGCAAATAAGTGCTTCACTAATTGAAGTACACACACAAACATGTATGACCAATATCTCATTCAAAAAAGCTTTGAGGATAAGATATCAAGTCTTGGATACAATTCAGACAGTTTAGCTAACTTTTCAAACTAATATTAGCCGTGCTGCTGCTTTCTTTATGCAACTACCATGTGGTTCCATCATCTTGTATTAACACTAATGTCTGAAATTCACCACTTATTACATGCTGGATAATGATATAATTCATTCAACAACATACCAAACCATATCAAAGTCAATTTTCATGAAGATATTAAAATAATCCAATGTCATTGGGCATTTGACAAATGAGTTCATACCCCTTGATCGACCAAATAGGCCTTCTCCCTTTTCTTACTTAGTAGCTGGGATTTACAGAATTGACCACTTACTAGTTATCACCGGATCCAAGACAATAGTGCCTTGGCTTATTATAAATTATTATCAATAAAACTAAACTAAAACATTGTTTTATTATTCATTCACTATTTGACATATTATTCATACACTCACAAATCACTATTCATAGTATTTTTGTAACACTTTGGTCCTCAATTTTTCTATATTTTTTTCTCAATTTCAAACTTTAATTATATTATGATTTAGTCTCATTTTATTTTAGTATTTTTTTGTTAATTATTTTTATTATTTAAAATTTACTATTTTAATTTATCATTTTTTTTAAATTCTCCTTCTTTTTTCAATTTCGAACTTTAATTATATTGTGATTTCGTCCTATTTTGTTTTAGTATTTTTTGTTAATTATTTTTATTATTTAAAATTTACTACTTTAATTTGTCATTTTTTTAAAATTCTCATCTAATTAATTTAAAATTATATTTACTTGCCAGTTTTGATTTATTTTTCTATATGTATAGATTTTGGAATAAATTTCTAGAACATGATTGTTTTTGCTTTTGAAAAATAGATTTAGATAATTTTTAAATTATAGTGGCATGATTAATATATATAATTTATCTAAAATATATTTTCAGATTAAAAGTATATTTCAAATAATTTTTTCTCGATTTTTATATTATTTTAAATTTACTACATTAATTTATCATTTTTTAAATTCTCTTTTTTTTTCAATTTCAAACTTTGATTATATTGTGATTTGGTCCCATTCTGTTTTTTATAATTATTTTTATTATTTAAAATTTATTACTTTAATTTGTTATTTTTTAAAAAATTATCATTTAATTAATTTAAAATTATATTTACAGATAGTTTTGATTTATTTTTCTATATGTATGGATTTTGGAATAAACTTTTAGAATATGATTATTATTTTCTTTGAAAAATAGATTTAGATAATTTTTAAATTATAGTAGCATCTTTAATATATATAATTTTTCTGAATACATTTTAGATTAAAAGTGTTTTTCAAATAATTTTTTCTTGGTTTTTTTATGTTATTTAAAATTTACTACATTAATTTGTCTTTTTCTAAAAAAAAATTTAATTTCAAACTTTGATTATATTGTGAGTTGATCCCATTTTGTTTTAGTGTTTTTTGCTAATTAATTTTATTATTTAAAATTTACTATTTTAATTTATCATTTTTTTTAAATTCTCATCCAATTAATTTAAAATTATATTTACTGATAATTTTGATTTATTTTTCTATATGGATTTTGGAATAAATTTTTAGAACATAATTAGTTTTTCTCTTAAAAATATATTTAGATAACTTTTAAATTATAGTAGCATGATTAATATATATAATTTGTCTAAAATACATTTTTAGATTAAAAGTGTATTTCAAATAATTTTTTCTTGTTTTTTTTAGAAAAAAACTCAAATTAATTAATTAATAGTTGAAAGTCATATTAATATAGTTTTTATTTTAATATTATTCATTCTTTTGTAAATAAATATATAAAAATGAAATTCATATTTTCTCAAAAATCGATATTCTCATCAACATTAAATTAAAAAAAACATTATTTGTTCAATTCTATGTAAGCTTTTAATAATTGTTATTTATGTTTTCCACATAATCTTATGAAATACTAAAACTTTTTTTAAAAAAATTTAGTTATTAATTCATGGATTAACAAGGATAAATCCTTTTTTCTAAAGGAAAAATTATGAAAAGCACAAATAAGAAATAATTAAATACAAAATTTTTTATTAAAAAATTATAAATAATTTTTTTCACTTTTGATTTGATATATTTTTATAAATTCATATCATATAACAGCCTATCAAATTGAAATGATTTCTCTAAATGATTTTATATATTTTATCCAACTCTGTAGCGTAGCACGGGCAAAAAAACTAGTTATAAAACTAAAGTAAAACATGATTTTACTATTCATTTTCGCTATTTGAAACATTATTCACACACTCATAAATCACTATTCCTTTCACTATTTATATTATTTTTTAGCACTTTGATCCTCAATTTTTTCTATATGTTTTTTTCAATTTCTAACTTTAATTATATGGTGATTTGGTCCCATTTTGTTTTAGTGTTTTCTTTCAATTATTTTTATTATTTAGAATTTACTACTTTAATTTGTCATTTTTTTTAATATAGTCAAATTAATTAATTAATTAATAGTTGAAAGTCATATTAATATAGTTTTCATTTTAATATTATTCATTCTTTTGTAAATAAATATATAAAAATGAAATTCATATTTTCTCAAAAATCGATATTCTCATCAACATTAAATTAAAAAAAAAATTATTTGTTCAATTCTATGTAAGCTTTTAATAATTGTTATTTATGTTTTCCACATAATCTTATGAAATACTAAAACTTTTTTTTAAAAAAAAATTTAGTTATTAATTCATGGATTAACAAGGATAAATCCTTTTTTCTAATAGGAAAAATTATGAAAAGCACAAATAAGAAATAATTAAATATAAAATTTTTTATTAAAAAATTATAAATAATTTTTTTCACTTTTGATTTGATATATTTTTATAAATTCATATCATATAACAGCTTATCAAATTGAAATGATTTCTCTAAATGATTTTATATATTTTATCCAACTCTGTAGCGTAGCACGGGCAAAAAAACTAGTTATAAAACTAAAGTAAAACATGATTTTACTATTCATTTTCGCTATTTGAAACATTATTCACACACTCATAAATCACTATTCCTTTCACTATTTATATTATTTTTTAGCACTTTGATCCTCAATTTTTTCTATATGTTTTTTTCAATTTCTAACTTTAATTATATGGTGATTTGGTCCCATTTTGTTTTAGTGTTTTCTTTCAATTATTTTTATTATTTAGAATTTACTACTTTAATTTGTCATTTTTTTAATATAGTCAAATTAATTAATTAATTAATAGTTGAAAGTCATATTAATATAGTTTTTATTTTAATATTATTCATTCTTTTGTAAATAAATATATAAAAATGAAATTCATATTTTCTCAAAAATCGATATTCTCATCAACATTAAATTAAAAAAAAAAGTTATTTGTTCAATTCTATGTATGCTTTTAATAATTGTTATTTATGTTTTCCACATAATCTTATGAAATACTAAAACTTTTTTTTAAAAAAATTTAGT